AAATGATAAACTACGTCGAAATAAATTTAACCAAGGAGGTGAAAGATCTCTATAAGGAAAACTACAAAACATTAATGAATAAATTGAAGAGGGTATAAATAAAAAAATTCATCAATCCCACTGCTGAGTATTTAACCAAAGAAAAGGAAATTAGTATATCAAAAGGATACTGGTACTTGCGTGTTTATTACAGTACTATTCACGATAGTAAAGATAGGGAATCACGGAATCAATCTCAGTGCCCGACAATGGAAGAACAGATTTTAAAAATGTGTTTTATATATATACATGGTAGAATACCATTTGGCCATAAAAAAAGAATGAAATCATGTTATTTGCAGCAACATTGATAAAACTGGAGGCTTTTAAGTTAAATAAGCCAGGCCCAGAAAAACAAATATCTCACATGTGTTTCACTGATATGTGGAAGTTAAAAAAAAGTTGATCTCATGGAGGTAGCAGAGTCTGGGAAAGGTGGGTGGATGGGACAGGGGGATAAAGAGAAGTTGGTTAATGGGTCCAAACAGGAATAAGCTCTGATATTTGATAGCAGAGTTGGGCAACTATAGTTAGCAGCAATATTTCAAAGTAGCCAGAAGAGAGGACTTGAAATGTCCCCAACTTACAGAAATGATTTTCAAGGTGATGGATACCCCAAAACAATCCTTAGATATTCTATGCATGCAACAAAATATCACATGTACCCCATAAATATGTAAAAAAAATTATGTATCAAATTTAAAAAGGATTATCATAGGAGAAAAAAGTTACACAAATTAAAAAGATGAGTAGTTTCCAGCTGTTCAGTGGGGAGGGAGGGTGGGACGGCTAGTTGGTGAATACATGACATTATCCATTTGTTAAGATGCTTAGAATTACACAACACAAAAAGCAAACTCTAATGTAGTCTTGGACTTTCAGTTATTGATAATGTATCGATATTAGCTCATGAGTTGTAACAAATGTTCTACACCATTATAAAATGTTAATAATAGGGGAAACTGGGAAGTGGGGGTAGGAAGGAAGTATATGGGGACCTTTAGCTCAACTTTTCTGTAAACCTAAAACTGCTCTAAAAAGTGAAGTGTGTTCTTCTTTTTCTTTTTTTTTTAATTCTAAAAACAGGACAAAACATTCTTGAAAAATCTGGGGCAGATATTTATTTTTAGTAAACCCTAACATAGTCCTCACTGCATGCTATAAAAATATTTTTTCAATCCTCCTGACATGCTTGTGGGTAGGTATCAGAGTGATTACCCTTCCACTACTGAGGAAACTGAGGCTGTAGAGTATAAGTTTCTGCCTAGGGCCACGTTGCAAGTTAGTGGCTGAGCCAGGATTCAAGAGATCCTTGCTTCCAGCCTGTGTCTGCCTCCCCAGAAAGGGGCCAAGGCCAACTGGACAATGGTGTTCACCACATCCACCTTGGGACCTCTTGTATTTACCCTCAGGTAAGCAGTTCTGTTTCATTTGTCTTCTATAACAAGCCATTTCAAATTCTTTTTTTTTTTTGAGTTGGTGTCACTCTGTCGCCCAGACTGGAGTGCAGCGGCCGCTCCCGGCCACCGCAGCCTCGACCTGCTGGGCTCAGGCGATCCTTCCACCCCAGCCTTTCGAGTAGCTGGAATTACAGGCGTGTGCTACCACGCCCAGGTGATTTTTTGATTTATTGTAGAGATGAGGTCTCGCTGCCCAGGCAGGTCTCGAACCCACGGGCTCAGGCAATCCACTCACCTCAGCCTCCCAAAGGCGCGGGATTACAGGCTGAGCCACCGAGTCCAGCTCATTTCAAATTCTTATCTGAGTAGGTGTGATGTCAATAGGACATTAACATACTGAAACTAGAGACCTCAACTGCTTTATAGAGAACCAAAATAAATTCCTTTACCTCCCTTAGTTCCCCTGGCACAACATATTGCTGCTCCTTTTTGCTCTAACTATTGAGATGGTTTGTAGGTAAAATCCCAGAGGTGAAAATATTTAAACCTAATAATCACAGTGTCAATAGTGTTTTGATAGATTTTCTTTTTGTGAGAGAAAGGTGATCTTGTTTTATCAAAAAGACTTGTCTTACCAAAACAAAACACACAAAGCAAAAACAACTAAGAGAGATTATGATAGGTTGAAAAGAAGCATAAAGTGTAGGTTTACTTAGGTGTAAAGCCGTCATTGATAATGCTTTTTATCACTATTTTCTACTGTGTTCTTAATACAAATACCCAATCAGCACAACTTATAAAAGTAATACACAGAGGTATATGAAAGAGCAAGTGCTTGTTGCAACTCAAAATGTCTTAATTAACCAGATTGTATTTTGAATTCCTAGTTTGCAGTAGAACCACACTAGGGACTGGGGTGAAGGGGGAGGTCACAAAAGGAGGTCAGCCTTTTACTCTCAGAGAAACTTTGTGACCTGGTTAGACATGTCCAGCATCAATGAAAAGGATATAAGGTGATACCGTCCGTCTTGCAGTTGATAGTCTGTGCCAGATGAGGACACAACTACAGCATGTGGGCACTGGGATCTACACAGGTTCTTGAGAGTCATAGGGAACTGGGCTGCAAGAAGAGAGACGGCAGAGCATTCCTGACCCCGGGGCCATCATGGGCAAGGCTGGGGTCATCGGCGAGTGAGCTGGGTGTGTTCTGGAACAAGTCGTACATCTATTTCTTCCAGATAGGGATGTGGGGGAGCTCAAGGAAATGTGTTGAGAAAGGCCTAAAGAGGAGAGACACTGGAGGACCAATGACATCAGCAGAAGAGTTTGTGTTTGGACTGGAAAGTGCCTGGGAGTGACCAGTTTTTGAGCAGTAGAGTAGTACGATAGAAGTGGTCGTTTAATTGTGTATAACAAGCTACCATGTAAAAATATAATACATGCTTCCATACACATAGACTATCTCTGGATTTAAAAAACAAACAAACATTAACAGGGTTACAACTGGGTAAGGACACTAGGTGACCAGGACACAGAGTGAGAGGAAGGCCTAAGTGCCACTGTATTCCCTTTGTACCCTGAATTTTTTTCTGTGAGTATCCAACTTATTCAAAATTAATTAAAAATTTATAATCTCCATTAAAAAAAGAAGGGACAGTTTAATGAGATTCGTCTGATAAAACTGACCTAAAAAGAAGCTTCCCTCACAAATTTATCCCTCCCACCCAGAGCAAAAGTCAGGCTGTTCACGTGCCCTTGATTTTCACTAAGACAGTCTGGCTATTTTTTCTATTAACAGCGGAAAGCCTACCTTTCGCCAGAAGAAAAGCTCCAACCTTTCTCACAATTCCAAAAGTTAGATAAGAATCATCCTTGCTTACATGAAAAGATACACATCAGAAAGATTAAGGGATTTGCCCAAAGCCACATTTTGATCTTTAACGCAGCTCTTCTTGGCTCTCAAGGGCAAGCATCATCCATTTCCTCATCTGGGATTTTCTAGAAAAGTGACCTATAAGACCCTTGCTAGTAGGCTGAAGGTTAGCAAACTCTCCTATAGAAAACCAGATAAACATTATATATTTATGTGTGTGTATAATGCATACATCATATGTTAATATCATACACACATACAATACACATGTACATTTTTATTTCAGGTAGGCCATAGGTCTCTATCACAACCTCTGCCATTGTAGTGCCAAAGCCACCATCGATGGCATAAAACAGCACGGTGGCGTTACAATAAAGCACAGAAATTTGAGTCTCATTTTCATGTATCAGAAATATCATTTTAAATTTTACTATATGATCTATTTTTGCTCTTTTCCAACCACTTAAAAATGCAAAAACTCATCCCAGTCATGGGCTACATGAACACAGGTCGTGGCCATTTGACCTGAGGACCACAGTCTGCATCCCCTGTTGCAGGATTATTGAATAGAGTCCTAACCTGATGAGGCCAGCATTGAGGTATTAACTCTGTAACAAGAACTTTGCTGCATGCTGTCAAAACTGCTGTTTTGCTGGCAATGTGCTGTTTTCTACCTCTTGCTAAGGTTCTTGTGGCTTTGTAGGGGATCACAAGGGCCACGATGGCTCAGGAAAACCCAAGCAAGAGGAGGAACAACAGAGGTGTGTCCCTCTCACACGTTAGTAATGTCAAGGCCATTTCCACCATAATCTAGATAAAATTTTCTAAAAATAATCCTACTCATTGTAGGATTGGGATTCTAAGGATGCCTTCCTCAGAAATGACACAAAGAACTTCTCCTATGATCTGATATGCTGTACAGGCACACAGCAGTCCGTGGTCAGTGTTGACTACTGCAGCATCCCTGAGTTTAGCTCCATAGTAGCCTGCCTTTCCTTCTGCAGATCTTTGATTCATTCACTCCAGTCATTCACACCTTAATAAACAACATGCACACCTACTGCACGTCTCATGCTGGACGCTTGGAATTCAAAGGTGAGAGCTAAAATCCTACTTCAAGGAACCCATGGTCTGGGGAGGAGACTAACACAATCATAGGACACACTAAATGCTATAGAACATGAGTTTTGCCTGGGCAAGCCTTTGGAACAGGGGCAGAGAGTACCAAAGAATGGTTTTCAAGGAGGCAAGATCAGAACCCAATCTAGAAGGATACACACACCAGGATACTTCCTCTTATGAATGAGAAGAGTGTCAACCCTAAATTGTTGCACAAGAGACAAAAGTGAGGGAGCACTAGGAGATGTCACGAATCTATTGTATTTTAAATCTCTGGTCCAGTGTTGTTGAACTTGATCACAGCTAATAAACAAGTCACATGTAAGTCCTAAACACACACACCCTTCCACCTACCATATATTTTATAGTCCACATTTCAGGAAAAGCAAATATTGGGCAATAAAATTGAGCATGAAATTTTTAAATGGTAAGATAACTCAGTTTTTCCTCTCTTAAATCTGGTTTGAAAATAATATAAAGGTACATTTGAATTTTTTTAATGAATTTAGGTCTCATATTTCCAAATATCAAACATCCCAATATTTTGACGAAGTAGGTGGCATTCTCACCTGAAGTACTTTCCTGATTCTTTTTAGATTGTGTATCAAGAGCAGGTTTTTCTCTTTGGAAACACGACCTAACTGTTCATCCAGTTGTATTAACAAGTTTTGAAGAAGAATTGTTGCCATGGTTTCATTGTTTGAAGCTGCCTCCCTAAAATATAAAAGAGTTATTACACAACAGGAAACAATTAGTAAAATGTCTTTTTGCCATACTAATTTTTAAGTGATAAACTATTCTATAGTGATAAGCATTTAGAGGTTTTTAAAAATTAAATTGTAGATATGAAAAGATGCTCACCATCAGTAATCGTTAGGGAACCCAAGTCAAAATACAGTAAGATACCAACTCACATTCATTCAATTTCATTATTATTACAAAAACAGAAAGTGTTGGTGAGGATATGGAGAAACTGCAACCAGCAATTGCATTGTTGGTGGGAATGTAAGATGGTGCAGTTACTGTGGACAACTGTAGGACAGTTACCAGCATAGTAAACATTAAATTCCCAAAAGATCCATGCATACCCAGAAAAATTAAGAGCCATGACCTGAACAGAGTCAATGTTCATAGCAGCTTCATTAGCAATAGCCAAAAAGTGGAAACAATTCAAGTGTCCATTGACAGATGAATTGATATACCAAATTGTGGTGTGGACACACTGTAGAATATTATTCAGCCTCAAGAAGGAAGAAAATTCTGGTACATATTACACTATGAATGAACCTTGCAAGTATTACACTATGCAAAATAAGTCAGTTGCAAAAGAACAAATATTACATGATTCTACTTGCATAAAATAACTAGAGCAGTCAAATCCATAGGGACAGAAAATAGAATGATGGCTTCCAGGGGATGGGGTTGGAGGAAGGAGAGTTACTGCTTAATGGGGACAGAGTTTCTGATTGGGAAGATGAAAAAGCTTTGTAGATAGAGAGGGTGGTTGATGGTCGCACAACAATACGAATACACTTAATGAACAGCACACCTCAAAACTGTTACAATGGTAAATTTTGTGCTAACCTTATTTTATCATAATAAAAAAGATGACAAACAAAAAACACATAAATAAATTGTACAAGTTGAACGGAGCATTGAAGAATATTTGTGAGTCTTACTATGAAAAAAATATTTACATTGAGTTTGAGATAGAGAATTGCTTCTTGGTTTTTCAATACATAAAAAATTGTTGGGATTTTGGTTTGTAGAAAAACAAAGCACTAGAACCATTGAATTTTCATCTACAATGGGTAAAACCAGAAGGGACCATGATTCCCCTCTTCTAAGAAGGCTTTCCAAATCCTTGAGGAAGTTCTCAACCTGAGAAGGTTGTACTGAGTCAAAAGCAACCACAAAATTAATCTACAAGGATAGAGCATAAAGCATGTGCAGAACTTCTAGAGAAAAGATGTGTGATCCTACCAGTCTTGATTTTCAATCCACTGGGCCAGCAGATGTCGAATTTCCATGGGAAAGTTGTCATCGTAGAATTGATCTACTTGTTCCAAAAACTTGATTTCTAACTGTTGGACTTGATTCCACTGAGACATGCTATAAAAGAAGAGGTAAAATTAGAGTTTTGCCATTTCATAACTGCGGTATGTACCTTCCTCCTTTAGAATGCAGTCAGACAGTGCTATCCATTAGTTATATAAATAGATAAAAATTACTTTTATAGTCATTCAATTAAAGAGGATAGGAAAAACTGCTTTCAACCCCAAAACTCAGCAATTTCTCTAAGTTTTTTCCATAAATCAACACTAATAAAGGGAGCAGCCTTCTTCCTGTGCCCCCAAGCTACATTCTGCCTAGCTCTAACATGAACGCCTTCTCCAGGAAGCCTTCATTCCTCCTCCCCAAAACATCCCACAACCTGCCCCTGATGTCCACACAAATTTACACTCTCAGCAAGCTGCTTCCCTAATCCCTTATTCTCTCTACACTATTATGAGACTTGGGTCTACTGAAACATATTCAACATTTGTTATGTCTCCTGAGACCCTCATAAGGTTTTATATGTGAAAAACACCTCAAAAAAGCTTCTTTTGTATGAAACTGCCAAATCCTTTTGTTCTTTTTTTAAGTTTTTTTTTGTTTGTTTTTATAGGGGTGGGGGTCTCACTATGTTGCCCAGCTGATTTTGACATTCTGGCCTCTAAACCATCCTTTCGCCGCAGTCTCTCAAATTACTAGGATGACAGGAGTGAGCCACTGCATCCAGCCAAATTCCTTTTTCTTCATTTTAGATTTGTCTGGCTTCTAGAATCAGCTCCATGTTCTTGACTTCTAGTTTAACTGTCTCAGCTTCGTGAAGAATTTTATGTACGCAGTTTTAAAGGCTCCAGTTCTTTAAGCTAAAAATACTTTTGAATCAATCGTTTTATCTCTCCCAGTGACGATCCACTATGAGTGGGCCAAGCTCTTAAAGTCTGCCTTTAACTTGCCTCTGAGGTGCATCTGAGAGTGGTGAAACCTTCAAATTACTTAAGGAGAAAGAAACCACACTCGCTACATGTTTAGCATAAAAAAAAAGTACGTGTTTCCCCCTGCAACCCCACTCTGGCCAGTTCAGAAACTGCAGACCTATTTCCAAGTGCAGGAAAATTAATACGACATTACATCCTCGAGATAACAGTATTTTACTCTTTTCCAAAGTCAAAATTTTGACTGTTTGTCAGCAATTCTAGGTCAAAGAAGTAAGCTCTTTGACATAATTAATCACCATACACATTTCATGGGTAGATTAAGGTTTCCTATAGATAACACATTTCATATGTTTCATATACACATCCTTCAGGTTTCAGATAGAGACATTTAGAGCACCTTTTCTCTGAACTTCTAGTAAATGATCTAAAATGTGAAGAAAGTTGTTGCTCCTGTTTTGCTGAAGAGAAAGCACATAGGAAAAGAAGTAATGCTTTATTTGCATATCACTCTATATTTATGAAGACCTTTACACTTTACAATTCAGAGCATATCGTAAGTGCTCAATAAATGCTTGTTAAATGATGAGTGGGCGGCACTCCTGACACTGCCCTGAAGGCAGAGGAATAGTAAGTATTATGTCAAATTTAAAAAGGAATACACTTGCCAGGCTCAGTGGCTCAGCCTGTAATCCTGCGCCTTGGGAGGCTGAGATGAGTGATTGCCTGAGCCTGAGGGTTCGAGACCCGCCTGGGCAACTTGGTGAGACCTCATCTCTACAATAAATCAAAAAATTAGCCGGGTGTGGTAGCGCGCACCTGTAGTTCCAGCGACTTGGAAGGCTGAGGCAGAAGGATCGCCAGAGCCCAACAGGTGGAGGATGCGGTTGCTGGGAGCAGCCACTGCACTCCAGTCTGGGCGACTGAGTGAGACTCCAACTCAAAAAAAAAGGAATACACTTGAGGATCAATTAGACCAAAGGACTCCAGTCTAAGGCATGCAGGCAGGGGGCACCCCAAAGTCCTCTGAGGTAGATGAATATGTCCATTCAGATCCTGGGTATGTGTCTATTCCAAATGAAATGGGAGCATTTGTTCCCATACTGCTACCAACCCTGTCCTGTTATGCCTTTCTCAGTTTATTAGCTAACGTTATTGACAAGAAAGAACAGGAGCTGAAAACAGCATTACAACTCTGCTCCTATGTATTGTTAAATCCTGGCTATGATTTGATGGCGATCTGTTTTCTAAATAAAAACTAACCTATCTTAAAGTTAGATCACTCCTGGCATCATGTTCAGTGAAATAAGCTAGGCATAGAAAGAAAAACACATGTTCTCACTCATATATGGAAGCTGAAAAAAAAAAAAAAAAACTGAGCTCATAATAGTAGAGTAGAATTGTGGTTATTAGGGTCTGGGAAGGGCAGGGGCTCCCAAAACTTGGTTAATGACAAACTTACAGCTGGACGGGAGAAGTAAGTTCCAGTGTTCTGTAACACTGCAGGGGGAAAGTTATGGTTAAAAATAATGCAGTGCATATTTTCAAAAAGCTATAAAAGAGGGGTCTGAATGTTCACAACACAAATGATACGCGTCTGAGGTGATGGACGTGCTAATGAACCTCCAGTCATCACACATGGTATACATGTACTGACATCACTCTGGGTCCCAAAAATATATAGATTACCTGTCATCTAAAAACAAAAGGAAAATATTTCAAAATAAATTTTAAAAGAATCTGCCGCTCAGATTAACCTCCTATTTCACCAGTGATGTTCCCTTCGGCGCGAATGCCCTCCCCAACTCGTCTACTTGTGGCAGTTCTAGGGTTCCAGGAGATGACTTGCTGATGACCCGAACCCAGAGTAACTTTTCCCTGCTCTGAATTCGCACTTCCTGTTTAAAAAAAATAAACACTGAAAAGAAAATCACCCCGGAGACACGAGTCTGCCTTCCGCAGAGCCGAACTCAGGCTGAAAGGCGGTGTCCGTCGTCCTGGGACATTCGTCTCTGCTGCCTGCAGCTCCTGGAGGTGCTCCTGGGCACCCTTCGGTGCTTGCTTCTTTTTTTCCTTCACTCGCTGAGGGCCGATTCTACCCAAGAAAACGGCGCAAGGCGAATGCCTGCGCGTCCCCGCTCCGGGAGGGCCCTCCGCCGTCTGGGTCTGTCCCACCGTCTGAGCTGCGGCGGCCGCGCGGGCTCTCGGCCCGCCGCTCGCAAAGCCGGCGATCCGCCCCGACGCGTCCCCGGCGCCTTCCCAGGCCACGGCCACCGGCCGCAGCCTTTGCGCGGCACCCACAGCTCGCCCGTCGACCGTCAGACACCCCAGCCGGAGAGAAGCCGGCCGGGAAGGCGGGGGCCGCTCGCCTCCCCCGGCGAGCACACCCCTCGCGACGCCCCCACTCGCGCCCCCAGACGCGCGGCCCGGGGCGCGGCCGGCGGGGCGCACTCGAGCCGCGGGGCCGGGCGCTTCCCTGGACAGCGAGCCCCCTCCGGCCGGTTCCGAGGCAGCGGCCGCCGAAGCGCGCAGGGAGAGCGCCGCTCCGGGCCACGCTGCAGGAGCGTGTCCCCCCGGGGAGGCAGCACGAGGCTGCGGCGCGCCCCACTCACCTGGCTCGCCCTCAGCCCGGTCCCAGGCAAGGCTCGCGTCCCGGGTCAGAATCGCCCCTCTCAGTCCCTAGGACCGAGCCGCTGACGCCATCTCAGAAGGGGATTTGCATTTCTCCTCCCACTTGAGGCTTTCCTGTGCGTCAGTGTTCGAGTCTCCGGGACTTTACTTGGGCCCGTACCCACCCACTCTTGATTCCAGAAAGGCTAAAAACGCAGACAGTGACAGGCTGAAGGCCCTTGGCAAGGCGCCCTCTTGCCTCTTATTTCTACTAGTCGTTCCTACTAGTCAGGCCCTCTCTCTCTCTCTCTCTCTCTCTCTCTCTCTCTCTCTCTCTCTCTCTCTCACACACACACACACACACACACACACACACACACGCGCGGGCGCTTATTTTCTCCCCACACGCTCATTTTCTTGGGTGACTTCCCCAGACAGTTGGAGATCCCCTGCAAACTTACCGGGAGCTAAAGCCCTCAGCGGCTTATCCCCCAGTATCAGACTTCAATCAACCTGGCGAGCCTCCTGAGATGGAGGGCAGGTGACCAGGATCAAAACACCAAACTCATAGGCCTCACTGGGCTCCAGTTCCAGCAGGATCTGGCAACCTCCCCGAGACGTCGAGGCTAACACCTGGGGAGGCCACCAATGCCTGGCTTCCTGGCCCAGCCTCCTCCCCTGGTAGCCCTATCCTTGGTTACTATGGCGTGTTCTCCCTCTGTGACATCAGTCTGTTCTAGAATCACAGTAATGGGGGAAGCCTTGGTCCCATCTGATTCTGAATCGTCTCTCATATCTGAAGAGTCGGAGGCCCAAGATGACTCAGTGAGCTGGCCACAGAGCTCAATAAGAGCCAGGTGTTTCCATGGCCACCTCCGTGGTCTCTTCATCTCATCTCCTTGGGCTCACTGCGAACCCCTTGATTCATGGCAAGAGTTCTGTAAATGTTCAGTAAAATAAAGACAAAAATGAATGCAGACTGGAAGAGAGGATGCATCACTCAATCTGATTACACACACACCTAGAACAACATGTCAAAGACAAAGACCTGCTGCCCCCTCCAGAGCCCACAGTCACACAGCCATGCCCTCTGGGTTCCTCTCCTCTCCCAGGTGACATTATTAGCAAGTGCTTAAGTGAGCCACCCCTCCCTAAACAAGATAACCAACCCCAAAGCCACACTTGCCATGTCACTCTGCCCTTCCTAGCCAGGTAGGCCAGATCCCAGCTGCTTGACTGCAGGTCAGTTTCCAAGAACTTACACTACTCTGACCCACATGAAGAAAGGGCTGATTTCCCATAAGCTCGCGGGAAAGTCTGGGTTTCTTCTGGGGAAGCAGTCCCTGCCTATAGAAAAAGTCTCTTTTTTTGGTACTCTAAGTTCTGTACAGCGTGGTCCCATCCTATCCAGGAAACTTTTCTCCCCTGCAAGGGCCCAGGAGATGACCTGGACCCATCTCCTCTACTGTCCAGCTCAACCTTATATGTCACTGCTGATGCTCCCTTCAACTCGAATTTCCTCCCTCAATCTGTCTACTTGTTGCATCCTATAGTTCTCAATCACCCCAAGGTTTCCTGAATACCTGGGACTACAGGCGAATTTCCTTGCTCTGAATCACACTTCCTGTTCACCCCAGCACTGTCCAAGTGAAATAAAACACAAGCCACATATGTAATCTTAAATTTTCTAATAGCCATATTGAAAAAGGAAAAGAGAATCAGTAAAGTTAATTTTAACATAAGTGACCCAATATACACAGGAATATTAACATTTTGGCATTTGGCTCTTATATAAATTGTGGATGAGATATGTGGCATTCCTTATTTCATGCTAAATCTCTGAAGCCCGGTGTGAGTTTAGCACTTCCAGGTCACCTCACTTGAGATTAGCCACACTTCACGTGTTCGGTGGCCACCTGTGGCTGGTGGCGACCATCCCAGATAGCACAGATCTAGACCACTCATTTAGCATGTTTCACATCCTGCCTGCAGTGTTAGTCACACTGGTATGTATGTCCTTATCATTATCATGTTCAACTGCTAGGAACCTGCTGTACACACAGAGGTTTTGTCCTCTTCCTCCACTTAAGGCCTCTCCTGGGACTTGACTCCTCCAGCAGATCTCCAACTGTTTGGTCTCAAGATACCTTTATTCTCTTAAAAAAGTGTTGACCACGCCAAAGAATTTTTGTGTATTACTGTTCTGCATGAAGTTTTGCTGTATTAAAAACTTTGATGTAAGAAAAAATTAAAATATTTCCTCATTTAAAATCCATTATGGGCCAGGCACAGTGTCTCATGCCTGTAATTCCAGCACTTTGGGAGGCCAAGAAGGGAGGGTCATTTGAGTCCAGGAGTTTGAGACCAGCCTGGGCAATACAGCGAGAACTTGTCTTTACAAAAAAATCAAATCAATTAGCCAGGCGTGCTGGCACATGCCTGTAGTTTCAGCTACTCGAGAGACTGAAGGGAGGGAATTACCTGAGCCCAGGAGTTTGAAACTGCGGTGATCCATGTTCGTGCCTCTGCACTCCAGTCTGGACACAGAATGAGACCCTGACTAAAAAAAAAAAAAAAAAAAAAAAAGAGTTCATTATGTGTTAAAGTAAACATAAAATTAGTGAGAAGAGTGGCATTGATTTACATTAAACAAATCTCTTTACTGTCTTGTTTGAGAGAAAACAGCTGCATTCTCATATCTGCTTCTGCATTTATTTTGTTGCAAGATCTTGTTTTGGTTGGTTGAAATATCTGAAGCAAATAAGAACTCACCACAGCTATGTAGCTGGAAAAGGGCAGAGTATTATAATGACCTTTTCAAATAACGTAGCTCTTCTTTGCTACCTCACCAAAACTCATCAAGGGATCATTTCTTCAGGGCTAGTTGTATTGAGAAATCAGAACCCTTATCAATAAACTTTACATATCCTGTTACATTAAAACTCCCGTTGTATCGCCCATTGAATGGAACTGTTACTCACACGTGATTTTATAATGTCAGACATTGACCATTTGAAAAACACTGGTCCACTGAATTATGCAGATTTCCTACATGCTGACACATTTCATCACACAATATCAGAAATTCATAGTGGGTAATATCAACCCTGATCTCATCAGAAAAGCATTCCAAGTATTGGGAAGCTGTCAAGCTCATGCCAAGGGATATGAGTTTTCCAAAACTGCATTTTTGCTTGAAAACTCCAACTTTATTATTGGCAACAGATACTGCCAGTGGCTTTCCTTGGAGTGACAGGCTCATTTTGACAACTCCAACAATCACACAAGGGCTCTTCCTTGAGACCACTGCCTTTACTCTGTGGCCTTCCCATGTCATCACACAGAATATCAAAAAGACATGGGCTCAAGATCTGAGATTTAACAAAATTCATAATTTGTACTGCTTCACCAGAAGCATTCTTAAGTCAAAACTAGCATCTTTAAAATGTTATTAAGTGTATGGGTTGGGCGCAGTGGCTCACACCTGTAACCCAGCACTTTGGGAGCCAGGAGTTTGAACCCAGGAATTTGAGACCAGCCTGGGAAACATAGCAAAACCTTGTCCCTACAAAATAAAAAAAATTAGCTGGGCATGGTGGTTCGCCTGTAGTCCCAGGTACTCAGAAGACTGAGGTGGAAGGATCACCTGAGCCCAGGAGGTTGAGGCTGCTGTGAGCCATGATCATCATAATTGTGCCACTGCACTCCAGCCAGGGAGAGTGAGACCCCGACTCAAAAAAAATTTTTTAAAAAAGCACCAAGTGTGTGGTAATAGAAATACAAAGATGGCTGGTACAATTTGGCACTACTGCCTTGCTCTGTGCCAAGGCACCAATGGCGTTACCCACTGTAGCTTTGGTAACATTGGGGCAAATATCAACAGAGTGAAAAGGCAACTCTATCAGTAGTAGTATAGAAACTATTTACCCTTGCAGATCCCCTGAGAAGATCTTGGGGACGACTCTGGGATCTGCAGGCAACACTTTAGAACCCTGGCTCTTGCCATGGCCTGTCCACTGTCATCAGTTTTTCCAGTGAATCATGTCTTGAGGGACTCTCAGCCCAAACAAGCCTGTTTCCCTTGAATCAAGCACCTGCCTTGATTCTTTCTTCCCTCCTATTCCATGAACAGAGCCAGACATCTGAGACAGGGAGTCTCTACGCCCACATTGTCTCCCTTTCTTAGATTCATGTTCATTAAGCAGGTGCTCAGTATCTTGGCCCTATTCTGGCCCTGGCCTCACAGGTTCCTCAAAGACAAGAAAAAAATCCCAAGTAAAGCAAAGAAACAAACCAAACGCTACAATTAAATCCTTGTAAAGTTCTCCTAGCCTAAAGCCCCCCCCCGATTCCTGTCTCTCCTCTAAAATGGGCCCCAATTTCCCTGATGACAAGTTCTATTCCTGATTTTTTATTGCATCATCCTAAGAGGAAAATCTCAGATTACAGACTTTCAGAAAAATAGGCTCTAGTTCTGGTGTGCCATGTCTACAGTACAAAACTGGATAAGTCACCTAACTTCTCTGAGCCCTGAACTCCCCGTCTATAAAAATGGGGCTATTATGGCCACATGAACTAGCTGGGAAGAGTCCAAGGTCTAGTGTCAGACACGAGCAAGAGACATGCTCAACCAACAACTGTTTGCCACGGGATAGAATCGAGCTGTGATTCACTTCAGTGGTCACCAGGTCCACCCTCCGCCTTCCTTCCCCTTCGCTGTACAATGGGCAAATGGAGTCAGAGAGGCCAGGTGAGTAGAGGCAGGCTCATACCTGCAAACAGGGGACAGCTGGATGCCAAGTCAGCTCTGCCTGTGCATTTTCCACCAGTCCACACGGAAGGAGACAGAGAGGAAGAGAGGGCTGTTGCTCACTGCTGGACTAGGACACCAGCCCCTCCTCCTCCCAATTATTGCTCAAAGAGTAGAAATACTGGCTGATTTGATTTTTGTCTTAGGACCTAGCGTCCCCTCTGTGTCCCAGGGAAACTGGGGTGGGCTGGAGTTGGTTGCTGGACAGGCGAAACACGTACATACAGAGCTCCCTAAAATATTTGAGACAGGAGAGAGAGAAAGAAGAGGGAGAAAGAGAAGGGGGGAGAGAGAGAGATTGAGAGAGAGAGCACGCGCATGCTAGGACCCAACGAGAGACAGCAGGGAGCAGTGGGACAGGACGGCCTGGTATGGGCCTCGCAGCACATTGTGTGCAGGTCCCCAGGCTTGGTCAGAGTTGGGATGCCAGCTTGGGAAAGTGTTGACTTTCTCCAGTCCCGTCCCCAGTCA